TATCAATTTTCCATTATTGATAACCAAAAACTTGCAATCCATACTAAATTTTCATCGTTCACAATTTCATATTGGAGAGTCCCATCTTAATTCATGGAATTTCACATAATCTGGAATAATAGGATGACAACAGGGAAGATAGTGAAAATAAAAATAAAAAAATACACCCCATTAGAGTATTGATAGTTCACTAAATTAATACTTCATCATAAAGAAAATTTGGCATTTGAAAAACCAATAATAACAAGTACAACATCTAAACTAGGTAGAATTAAATCTATTGGGGAAAAAAATGGAAGAAGAAGAAATTGAAACCCCAATGAATGCTCTATCTGAAATGGTTGTTCATCTGAAAACTGGTGAATGAAAAATGGAAATTTGAAACCCATGAAAGATGAATAATTCGTGATTTGAATATCAACTGAGCAAGGAAACTCGGCTCAAATTACATCAATTTGTAGTAAAAACTCTCTCAAATCTGATAGAGTACTATACTCAATGCGAGACAAAAAAAAAAAAAAAAAATTGATAACATTTGCTACAGGGATAATGTAAGTTAATAACCATCAGTTCTCTTTTCTCTCCACACTGATTGTTTTCCCTTCAGATTTATAGCATCAACAAATAATAACAAAAAACATAGACCATTAAATGGCTATTTTTACTTCTAGGACCTAAGAAGTACGAACAATCTGCGAAAGAGCCGTACTCGTGTCAGACATCGACACTCATCGGACACTCCTCAAATACGTGTTCATAAATAAAAATTAATTTTATTATTTCGGACATTTCTCCGACACTCCCTAGACACTTCTACACTTTTCAGACACTTCGTAGACACTTCTCAAACATTTCTAACGTAAGTCTACCCACTAATATTGAAAATAATATGAATACTATCATGACAAAATAGTGAAATACTAGTATATATCATATAAAAATCATTACAATAATGACATACTTTTATTTTCTAATTCATTTTAGAACAACTCTTGGTATAAAAATTATAGATGAATTAAAGTTTTGTAATAAGTGAATCGATGTATAAAAATAACAATTTATATTTATATATAGGCGTGTCCACTCCGTACCCATGCTCTAATTTTTTAAAATTTTAAGTATAGACGTATCTGTGTCATATCGTGTCCGTATCCGTGCTACATAGTCTAGGACAGATCATTAGGTAAAATATCAAAACAACTGATAATATTATACTTGTTCATATCCAAAATTGAAGAACAAACACAACCTAATAAAAAATTCACAAAAGACCCTTCAAGATAAGATGGTTTTTCGTTCTTACTGGAGGCTGCAGAGTGGTCCGGCCATATCGCATGGTGTTGCTGCCATCGTCAAGAGTAAACTTAAGAAGTTGAATGTGAGCAGAAACCCTAGAAGACAACAATCACTAAGTGATGGGAGATTTATTTGGGATACGCCAAGAATAAACAACGATTTACTAATAAAACATGGGGTACTATGAGAATTATAAAAGTTTCATTACAACTATAAACCCTAGACTTCCGTGTCCGTTAGGAAGAGGGTTTAGTAAAAGCTTCCCTCCCCAGTTTCACTCAAACGCTCTTCCACATACTTGAAGCTCTTCAGCATTGAAATTCAAACACGGTAAAAAATTGGCTTTTGAGTTCTAGAAGCCAAAAACGACTTTCAAAAAGTCAATCCAAACCGGCCCTTGGTCGGTGAGAAGACTGAACCTAAACCTGACTTCTCAAGGTAACGCTCTCAAGGTAACACTTTTGAACTGGGTTTCTTTACAAAAGGTACTGCTTCACTTAAAGTCTATCTTGGCATATGGTATAAATAATTTAGTGAGAAGATCATAGTTTGGGTAGCTAACAAGAAGCAACCAGTGTCTAAAATGTCTAATTTTATACTTTATTTTTTTTTGAAGATGGTGCCTATGATTCAAGTAATATAATTTGTAGAACTAACTGCTATGCGTGGTGTACCACGGTGTCGACTTCATATTTTGAAAAAAAAAAAAAAAAAAAAAAAAAAGAAATAAAATTAAGTAAATTGATACAACAGAATATTTATGGAATTAAGTAAAGAATTATTTTTCAAATTCTGCACTTTTTTTTAATTTTTTTATTATTATTATTTTTTCCAGATAAGTCAGTTTTTATAATTATTTATCGAATTAAGTTAGTCTTTGTCTTTTTCAATTTAATATGGTAGTCAAAGAAACATTTTTTGAGGATAAAAATAAAAATAAAACTTCGTTTTTTATTTTAAATTTGTTGTGAAGTCAATATTAGAAAATTTGCCATCACAAAAGATCCCGTTTGAAAAAGAAAAAAAGGAGTTAGAACGGGTTGAACCATTTTTTTTTATTCTTTACCCATTTATGACCCATCATTGACGGGTTAAAAATAAATTACTTATCCATTCAAACCCAGTCCATTTAAAACACCGTTCAAAAAACGTTCATATCTACCCAATTGCCATCCCTAAATTTACATGCTATTACCAGCTATATACCGCAAAAAAAAACTCAAAAAAAAAAAAAAAAAATTCTTTTCAATATCTCAGAAAAATATAATCCTCGTTACAAGAAAGTCAAGCTATGTAATAGAAAAAAAGAAAGTCAAGCTATGTAATAGAAAAAAAGAAAAAAGTGTAGAAAACATCTTTAAAGTATACTTTTTGTAGTACTTTTACACTTTATTTGAAAAGGTGTGCAATAAACACCCCTGATCTTTTGAAATTGTGCGAAAACAACCCTCAATCAAAAATTAGTATTGTAATACCCATTTTACCCTTTTATTCTTCCAAAAATGCCCATACCAAACCTTACCCTCCACCCCCAAAACCGGGTTGACCCTGAACTGGTTCAGTCTAAAGCTGGTTTGGGATAAGGAAAGATCTGTAACCAAACACCCTTTTTCTCCTCCACCTTGCTTCATAGATTTCTGAAATTCTTGGTTCGTGGACTTCATCTTTCAAGCATATGCTATGACGAAATCGTATTACGAGCCCGTCTTCACCGCTGCTTCGTCGCCGTTCAAATCACCGCAGTTCCAGTAAGAACCAGACCCACTGTTGTTCACCGCCGTTCTTGCTGACCCGGTCAGATGAGTCAGAGAGTCTCAGAGTTGGGTTTCGAATAAAAGCAGCTTGAACAGCCGAGCATAAACCGGAAACAATGAATTGAGTCTAGACAAGACGGCGGAATGCAAGGAGTAGCGAGACTGAATTTACCGGCAGCCGCGGGACTGTTCTCATCGGCGAGCATGGAGGACTTGTTCTTACCGGCGAGCATGGACTATCGACTGCGATGAAGCACTGAGTTTACCGAGACGGTGGCAGCGAGCAATAATTGTAATAGTTTCGACTCCAACGATGGTAGTGAGTTCAACGGCGACCAAAGATTAATCGGCGGTGGCAAGGTTGAATGAAGCCGGACTGAATCGGCAGTGCACTGTCGACAGTGCGTAGGATGGTGTTGATTTGTAATCGGGTTTTGGGAATTTTTTATTTTTTTCTTCTCACTGTATCACGGTCTGCTATGCTCTGATATCTATGGAGATTTATAAGATGTCTCAAAGGAGTTGAAAAGATGCTCTCATATTTTTATTTTTATATATTTTTAATTCTGGTGAGTTTTCTTGGTACCTCTTTTAGTCATTTCACAAAATTTTACTTTTTTATATATTTTATAAAATGTGTCAGTAAGGGCATTTTAGTCTACATAGAAAATGTATACATTAACAGTACCTACAATATCTTTAAAATTAATCCCATCATTAATATTCCAATCAAGGCAAGGTTGGAGGCAAAGGAAGAAGATCATACACTCGTTGAGACGAATTACATGATACATATATATTTCCTTCCATGTAAGTACTAAAATTTGGTGTGCAAAGGTACCCAAAAGGATCATGATATTTATATACGTATGTTGTGAATTTGTCGACCGAGACCAATTTATGAAAAGAATCTTATCCACGTATACGTGGAACTACGATGGTGTTCCTATTTGTTCTTCCTATATTACCTCGTACAGTCGTACTATAGTATAAATAACGGAGTTATTATGCTCTTAGTTAGTTAATTCGCGTATGATACGTGAATTAAACGCGTACGTACGAATTTTGAGAAAATATTTCCGTTTGTCGATTAGAGTTGAAAGATACGGTAAAATACGTATTTTTTTCCATTACCCCTTATCTAACGGGTTTATTCGTTTATTCGTTTTAGTCGCTCCGTTTAATTCGTAACCTAATTATTTTATTTTCTTTTCAGTCACAAACTTCACGGCTATCAAAATAATATTATTCGTTGTGCAATCTTGGGAAATGTTGTAACCATTCTCTCACTCAGTTGTTCTACATTCAAGGTATCACTTTCTTTTTCTTTCTTTCTTTTTTTTTCTTTTTTTTTTTTAATCTCTTATTGTTGTCACTCCATTGTATGATCTTTAATCAAAATAATGAAAGAGATATATGTATATATACTTGTGGAATACTATAATATTGAAGAATTATAAGCTTTTATTGATATTTGTAGATATTTATAGATTTTTTATTTTGTTGTGAGATCTTTTAAATTTTGTTTGTATCTTTATTGTTATTATTTTAGAAATTTGTAAATCACCACACTCCCTAGATGTTTTAGTAGAGTATCACATTATATACTTATGAATTTATTATAAATATATAGGCTATTAAGGAAAGATGGGAAAAAAGAGGGATGCATTTTGGGATCACATTGAACAATTACAAGGTCGTTTCATGTGTAAGTATTGTAACTTAAACTATCCTGGAGGTATTTTAAGAGTCAAATCACACTTATCTGGGGTAAAAGGTAGAGACATTGAAATTTGTTCAAAAGTACCTCAAGAGGTTCAAGCAGCTGCATTTTTAGCAATTGGTGGTCCGAACAAAAAAATTAAAATTACAGTTACTCCAATTGATGTTGAGTAAGGTGGGTCTTTTAATTTTTCCTCTTCATCTTCAAAGGGCTTACAACAATCTACCATGCCAGAAACAATTAAGAAGATGGATAAGAGTGAGGTGGATAAAAAACTTGCCAAGCACATTATTTTGAATAATATTTCATTTAATGTGGTTCAGACTCAATCTTTTATTGATTTCGTGAAAAGTGTTGCTGAATTTGGGTCAACATACAAATTACCTAGTTACTCAACTTTACGCACAAAGCTAATACCAGATTCTAAGACAGAAGTAGAGGCATACATTGGGAATGTGAAGAAAACTTGGGTTGCTACAGGTTGCACACTAATGTCAGATATATGGAGTGATATGAAGCAACGTGCCTTTATCAACATAATTGCATATTCACCTGGTGGGGTAGTATTTATGAATTCATTTGAAATTTCAAAGGATACAAAAATAGGTGTTTATCTAAAAGATATTATGTCATCAGTAATTGAAGATATTGGACCTAATCACGTTGTGCAGTTCATTACTGATAATGCATCAAATTTTGAATCAGCTGGTGACATGCTTATTGGTAAGTACCCTCGTATGTATAAAACACGATGTGCTGCTCATGGGATTCAGCTACTATTGAAAAATATTTATTCTAAAGTTTTGTGGATACATGATATTATTGATGATGCAAAATTAATTGTGACATATTTGTACAAGTACACTATTATTTTGTCATTAATGAGAGAGCACACAAATCATAAAGAACTCAAACATCCTTGTGCGACTAGATTTGCCTCCAATTTTTTGATGGTTCAATCAATTTTAGAAGTTGAAGATGGATTGCGATTACTTGTGGCATCTTCTGAATGGAGGGGGTTGGATTACAACAAAAGAGGGATGGGACTAAAGGTTGCTAGTATTATTCAAAGTGTTGAGTTTTGGAGTAAAGGGAAAGAAGTAATACAAACTCTGGAGCCTTTAGTTAGAGTTCTTCGTTTGGTTGATGGAGATGGTTCAACTACAGGATATTTGTATGAGGCGATGGAAAGGGCAAAAGAAACTATTAAACAACGTTGTTGTATTAATTAAGCTAATTACATGCAGATATAGGTGTTATATGAGAAACGGAGAATTGAAAATGTAATCCACCCAATACATGCAGCTGCTGCATTTTTAAATCCTGCCTTCATGTGTAGCGAGGACTTCAGAGAAAATCGTGAAATGAAAGACGGTATAGATTTTATGTTAGGAAATTTTATTATTAAAGAAGAAAATGAAGATTTTATTCGAGAACTGCAATTTTACCGTATGAAGACCACAACTTTATTCACAAATACAGCAAAGACAATGTTAAAAACATCTCATCCTCGTAAGTTTTTATTTTTATTTTTTAAAATATCTTGTTAAAATTATAATAAGCTTTATATATTTAGTTTTATTATTATTATTATTATTTTTTATTATGTGTAGGAGTTTGGTGGGATTATTGTGGAGATTGTCTTCCTGTGCTACAAAAGTATGCCATTCGTATATTGAGTCAGCCTTGCAGTTCTTCTTCATGTGAAAGAAATTGGAGTGCTTGGGAAGTTGTGCAAACAAAGAAAAGGAATAGGTTGGCACCTACAATGTTAGACAATCTTGTATACATAAGAATGAACACAATGATGATGGAAAAATTCAAGACACTCGAAGCACAAGATTTGGAGCCAATTAATCTTGACAAACTTAGTGACAATCTTGAATATGTTGATCATGAAGAATTGGAGGATTATTCCTTAGAGCCAACCGATGACGTTTCTAGTGATATAGTCACTAATAATGAAGATCTTTCTTAATTAGATGGTGTTATCTAAATTTAGAATAATTTTTTATTTTTATTTTGGGTAACATAATTGATTATTTGAATTAGAATTTTTTTCATTAATTTTGTGATGAAATTGATCATGTTATGGACATATGGTTATTGTTTCGTTATATTTAGATAGTTTATTTATTTTTTTCTTTTTTATGATTATTGTGATAGTGTCAATTGTAATATATTTATTTTATTATTTGTTACATATTATTTATTTTCTTTACAAATATATGATATATAAAAAAATAATAAGATGTGTATAGCCGAATTTTTGATCTAGTATATATAACATATTATATACATACGTATTTATATTTTTACGTTTTTATATTTTTTTGTCGAATTTTTTAAACGTATTTTTAAAAAAATATCAAATTATATTCGTATGTTTTCTTACCTGTACCCGTATTTTTCCCGTACCATATTTTACTAACTATGATTGTGCTTCCTATATCCTCGTACAGTCGTACTACAACAAGTAACGGAGTTAAAATGTGAGCTTTCCCCATAGACAATACAGAGTGACACAGCAGGGAAAGAGATTCGCAGAGTGACCTTTCCCCATAAACAATACAGTGTGACAGAGGAGGGAAAGAGATTCGCTTTGAGGGAAGAGAGAGAGAGAGAGAGAGAGAGAGAGAAAGTGAAGGGAGAGAAATGGGTGGCGGCAACTACAGCTTTGCCAAGACCATTTGCTCAATCTGCTACGAGGATCTAAAGCCAATCGTAGAAGACCTCCAATCCATTTCCATCTGCGGTCACGTCTTTCACGAACTCTGGTTAGTCCACACACACGTATATATATTATCTGTATTGATCGATTATTATCCGGTTATAACGCAATTTTTTATTTTTATTTTTATTTTTATTTTTATTTTTTTATTTTTTATGAAACCCTAGTATTCAACAATGGTTCGAGTATTGTTCGAATGGGGAGAAGAAAAGCTGTCCTGTGTGCAAGCAGACCTGTTCGGAGGTTAACGTTGGGCGGCTTTATTTCCAATCAGTTAGCAATGCCAACGATCCGACTCTTTGCGTAGAAAATCCTGAAGAATTGCGCAGAGAGATCAAGAAATTGGAGGCCACGGTTAAGGGACTTTGTTCTGGTTTGGAGAGTCAACAGAAAAATGTCAAAGAACTCACTGAGGAGGTATTATAGTTCTTTATAATCTGTTTGGTTTCTCTGAAAATTTCGTAAAAAAAATGGGAATTAAAAATTTTAATACTGAATCTTATATTCTATGTTTTATGGAACCTTATTCTCACATAGTGCCCAAACTTTACTGAACTGTGCATTTACAATTAGCTGTCCTGCTTGTTATGGCCTTGTTGAATTACCACACATTTGTCTCTGAAGTAGAAGGCAGGAAAATTAGGGAAATTTAGAACTTGTATTGTAGGTTATTTATTCAGACCCGAAGAAATGCAAACCTTCATCTTGCTTGTCCCTTGTGCAAGTAGTGATTTGTCAAAATTTTAATTTCATGAAACCTTAGATTTAGGAATTTGCTTCATCTTTTAATTCCTTTGGCTTGTTTCTCAAAAATGAAAAGGAGGGATTTTTTATTTTTATTTTTTATTCGCACACTCAATTATTTGAGTTTTATATATTTCTTATTTTATACTTATCAAAAAAAAAAATTCTTATTTTGTAAGGAGTTTCTGATTAGACAATATATGTACCAGCTGTACTTTTGCAAGGAGCAGGCCATCAAGGAGGCAGCATCAAAGAATGAAGCTTTGAAACAGAAAGCAAGTTTTCAACAGTTGTTTATTTTAAAATCTGAGGTGAATGGTTGTTTGCTCTTGTTTGACGTGTACTCCTATATGTGAACTATGAACTCACTCCCTTCCCATATGTGCCAATTATACACATGCATATGTTCCTTCTATTGTGGTTTGACTGTGTTGTTGATAGAAAATTTCTCATATACTTTGTCAATTAGGAACTTGGTAGATCGGCTTTGGAATGCACAAGGCTTCAGGAAAGGAACATGGCATTGGCTAAAGAGCTCGCATCACTCAAATTGTAAGTGAAATTGTTTAGATTAAAGTAAACCTTTTGTAATATATGTCTTTGGTTCTCTAATAATCTCTATATGATTGTTTGTTGATTACTGTTGTTACACGGTTTACAATTTAGGGTGTCTGATTTGAACTTAGAGAAAGAAGAGGTTTTGAAGCTTGCTTCCCTAGGTAATGAGGCCAACACCAAAGACACAGTTGACATTTTAAAGAGGTCATTAGTTATCCGTAACAAGTGAGTTCAGTCTGTGGCTTATCCACATGAATTCTGGTTGATGAGTTTTTGTTCCACGCACAGTAATAGGGTTGGTTCAGTCTGTGGCTTACTCTGTTGAAGAGGGTGGACTACATGTTTAGGAGGGATTCTTCCTAACCGACAATCTATGGCCACAAATTTCTTTGCAAATTGTTTTGCATCCATCTGGTTTGTATTTGTCTATGAAGCACGAATGGTCAGACACTTCTATAAGGGGGATGTAATTGAATTTTGTCCATGATCCCACTGACACTCCTTGAATACATGTTGGATACTTTCTAAAAGTATTCATAATTTGGAATTAATATTATTATTGTTATTTTTTTTAATTTTAGACACATATCTGATGTTTCCGATACTTTGGTCATGTTTCCAATACTTCTTAGACACTTCGAGACACATTTTGATCAAATCTTTAACATTAAAATATAAAATTTTCAAGTATAATATCATGGTATAATTGTTTAAAATACAATATTGAATAACTAATTAGTCCAAAAAAATTCCTTGCAATAGTATTCTCAACTTGTTTGGCATAATTTTATTTTTATTGTGTAAGAAAATGTTTGTAACATGACAAACAGTTATATATTATTTTAAATTTGTATATAGATATATAACAAAACACAATAGAAAGTAAACATTCCACACACAAAGAACACCAAAATTTAGCGTGGTTCTGCCAAACCTACATCCACGGTGAAGATCTGGCAAAAGTTTTCACTATGCAAAAGTTCGGAGATTACAAATTTCAGCCCCCAAACCCTAGCTCTCGTTCTCACTCTTTTTTATGCGATTTTCAGTGTCTTTGGATGTCCCACTCCAAACCCTAAATGCCCTTATATATTGGGCTACAAGAGAATACTAATTTGGTGGGCTTGGGCCCCCACAAATCTCATCCAACGGGTCGTCGGGTCATAAACCCGGCACCAAATTCAAGCCACAAACATCACAATTTTATATGTAGGTACATCAATATATATATATATTGTTGTGTCCTTGTATTCATAGCTTAATTCTTTGTTTTAAGAATTTTTCATATTGTCACATATGTATTGCGTTGTGCTTGTATCCTGTTTTCGTGTTTATGCTTCGTAGAGTTTTACAGTTGTTTTAAGTTGCAGTTGAGGTGTCATGAAAACAATAAGTGATGGTGAGTCAAAAGTGATTAGAGTTTCCCCACTCCACATGACACACACAAAAAGAAAAGAAAAGAAAAGAGTAAGAGGAAGAATAGAAGTTGTTTCTTTAACTTTGATTATGGTTATTGGATTCAAATTTAGGGGTAAGCTCTTAATTAATTTCTATTGCAATTGTGGTATTCAGCATTCTCAACCCTCTGTTATCTTTTCCCACTCTTCCCATGTTTATGGGTGCTTGCTAGTTTTTATTTGATTTATGCACCTTTTAACTTTATATTTTTCCATGTTAGAAACAACTAAATTCATACCTCTGTTACTTTTCACAGGAGTTACAAAGAATTGATGGCCAAGTGCAATATTCTAGGAAGTGGAGAGGCTTGTTCTCTTAACAAGCTTGACAAGGCTAAAGAGAAAATAAAGAAACTGAATGTATGTTTATCACACGTTCCATAAGTGAACTGTGAATCTGATAACTATTTTTGAGTTCGAATATATACTAACTTGTGGTCATTTACCAGACAAGGGTCCAAGAATTGGAGACGGCTTTTGAATTAAAAGATAATGAGGTTTTGAGTGCTTTAAAAGCTTCTAAGAAATCTACTTGTAAAGGGGATGTAGTGATGGTGTCAATTTGAATTCTAAACATATTAACCACATCTTATCTATTGACAGTCATTTTAGTGCATATATGAATTTACACTAAAATAAGTGGTTTTATAATTGATATAGGTTTATATCATGTATCAGAATTTAATTAATCCCTATAATATTTGTTTTAGTTATGGATGAATTAACAATACACTTAGTATGAGGTACCTTGGTGCGCCTTTTTAAATATATTGTTTTGATTGATAAAACTGAATTAGGGATATGTGCTAAATGTCTAGAAAGAATCTCAAGAATTTAGAGGAATAGTAGTTAAAGGCAAACTTAGGCATCAAACAAGCCATATTCCATAATGGCCTAACCTCATCATGGCTCAGCGGCTTACTTTACTACAATTTCGGCCGTTGTGCTTGTATAATTGCTTTTTGGCATTAATATCGACTCATGTCTTGTCTTTGAACCAGGTAGGACCTACTGCTCTAATTAAGGCTGAGGTTCCATGGTCTGCCCGAAGGGGGAATCTTTCCGAGAAGGAACGTGCCTTAAAGACAGTAAGAGGGTAATTTATGTTGAAGGTCTATTATATGATTTCCTAATATCTGCATTGGCAACCTTCTTTTGGCAACAATTGATTCCTGAAAAAATCCAGAATGTAGTCTGAAAAGTAGTGAAGATCCTGAAATTTTAAAAGATGCTCCTTGAATTAGGTGAATGTGAACATTTGATGATGATTTATCATATTGTGTCGATGCTTCTAAATGTGTTAAGTGTCCATGTTTAGGTGTATGAACCATCTCTACAGGAGCTGTCTTCGGCTTTCAGTGGATATGGTACATATTGTTTAGTTCATGACATAGTTGAATTCTCTGCTCATGCATATTTTACATGTCAAAAAATAAAATATTATGAATCTAGCTATACTCCATATGTTATTTATATATTTACTGGTTT